ACTTAGTAAAGCATTGAAAAAAATGGCCAGACGTCAAATTTGCTGAAGTGCAGTGTGGTGCTCAAACCTAAACAGAAATATACTCAGTGTAGCAATAACTGGGAGTTAGTCCAAAGAAATTAATGAGTTTGACAAACTATGGCAGCTATAACAGCTATTAGGAGATGTACAGTTAGATACAGACTGAGAAAATCCCACTGCAAAGGTCACAGTGACAGTCTTTTACACTCATCATAGTGATGTATATGCAGTCCTTCAGTATATTTTGTCAGCATGTGTGGTTTTTTTAGCACTGAACTGCTTTGTGCTGACATCAAGATAAATGTGACTCTGTGGTATTCAGGGGGTGTGATGGTGTTTGTCCAAGTTCAGCCATGACAGCTTGGAGAATTCACAATAAGGGCTGAAATTCATTTTAGATAAGAGATCCAACACAGCCTGAGTGGATATTTAAATATAACCTTGGCTTTGTACTGGCCTCTCTTTTTTTCATTAAACAAAAGGGAAGTGTAGATGGACTGATAGGCAGATGTGGAGAGAAAAGACATCTACACAAAAGATTAAGCTGAGCCACAATACTGTGAATATATAAATATCACATTAGGTCACAAGGAAGACACCATTGGCACCTTAAAATACTTATTTACAAAAAGCGGTGCAGTTCCTAAGCTAAGTATGAGCACAATGAACTACTACTCAGGGCTCTGCTAGAAGTCAAGTTCTACTGCCTGAGGCTATTAGTCAACCAAACCCTCCACCGTCTGTGTTATAAGCAAACCCTTTGACCTCTGACCCCCCAGTCCACCTTAAATCAACCACAGGAGTGGCTGACCACAACCAGCTAAGATCAATAAACATCAGCATATTTGTGCTTAGCCATCATTCCCATTAGGCCTGAGCTCAGATGGAGACACTCTTAGAGTGTGTGTGTGTGTGTGTGTGGACAACAACTAGCAGAGACTAGAGAAAAGACAATGATTAGAGATAACAGTGGCCTGAATCTTTAATGTGTACATAAACACAACAACGGCTTTAAGATGTTTACTCTCATGTGAATTTCAAATTGTTTTTCCGAGGCAATTTTACTTTCTTTTGGAAAATAACATAGAATTTGTCAGTGCAGCACACAATTGGTTTCAACAGTTTATTAATTTAATTTATCCCCAGTTATAATGCATCTGCAAAGGTCTGCCTCATTTCTGATTTGTTTGTTCCTTTCATATTGGACAACAACTTAATTTACCTTTCAATGTGTGTGTTTTACTATTTAAAATACAGCCTTAACATTTCTCATGACTTAAACCTTAAAAAAAACTGTTCTGCCAAAGCTCACTACAATAACATTCCCTGTAACTGCAGTTGACAGTGATTCTACGACTGAACTGCAGTAGTGAAGGACACAACGCCCCGTGGTCGGTGGCTAATACTCCATCCTTCCATTCCAAGCTGAACAGAGAGCTTTTATGGAGCCAAAGTGAGGCAGCAATGATAGGAAGAGAAAGGAGAGTTTTTTTCACAGACTAAGGCTGTGAAAGGCAGAATGGAAAGGAATGTGGTAACAGAAAGATTGACAGTTAAAGAGGAAGGCAGAAAATAAAGATAATGAGAGACCAAACTCCAACTCCTTTTCCGACAACCAGACATGGTAATTGTGTCCAACACAAAGCCTCCACTTGACTGTAAAACCCAAAAATTACTCACTGAGAACTCTTTGTAAAAATCAATCCAACCTTTTACAAGGCTGGATGTCAGAGCGACGGATTGCTGTGTGAACACAGCAGTGTGTATTAATTCACATCTGGGCTGTAGGTGTTGTAGTGTGTGTAGGTTCCTCTGGAAAAGCATTTAAAGCAAATCAATAAACACATTATGGCCCGCTATTAAAACACGGCGGCGGTGTGTGCATTCAGAGCTGCGCACACATGCATATAATCCCTCATAAATGGAAATGGTGATTATGCATTACTGACAAGAGTCATTGGTTACGCTAGAGAAGACAAGGGTGTGTGTGTGTGTGTGTGTGTGCGTGCGTACACACAGGCACACTCGGAATTCATTAAGTCATAACAAAACAAGCGGCAGCAGCTGACTGTTTGAATGTGTGTCTTGGCTGAGACAACAGAGCCAACACATTCTAAAGAGAGCCAAAAGTGGGGTTTTCAGTGAAGAGAGTGGGGGAAAAAAAGAGGGACGGGCAAAGAAAGAGAACACAGACGTCAAGTTAAGAAGTCTGCCGAGGTGGGGGCACTCAACTTCTGATCTACAACACACTCTACACACACTTTTCAGTGCTTCAGAAGTTGGTATTCACTTTATTTCAATGTACACACACAGGGAGAACAAGTGAGTGAAGTTGCCAAGGTTGTTGAGCTGAAGTGAGAGGCACATTGATCTCACTCTTCTAATTCTCTTTTAGTCACATCAATGAGAACTTGATTTTTTTATACATTTAACAGCAAAGGGTATGAAATGTATATAAAGGTGTCAGGCCAATGTACTTCACTTTATCAAAAAGAAATGACTTAAAGTAACTCTGGTTGGATGTAAAAAATTAAGAAATACATCATCAACAAATAATTAATAATAATAATGAAATTATTTGTGTTTTGCAAGTTTGCCAATGTACTTCACTTTATCAAAAAGAAATGACTTAAAGTAACTCTGGTTGGATGTAAAAAATTAAGAAATACATCATCAACAAATAATTAATAATAATAATGAAATTATTTGTGTTTTGCAAGTTCACAAATTTCAGCGGAACTAGCTAGCGGCTGGCTTGATTTAAACCTTTCAATCAAGTTTGTAAAATATATCAAAATGAAGTCAAAAAGAGTAGATAGCTGAATGAGTTGCTTAACATTGTCTATTGCTAGCAGCTGGCTAACTGAATATGTGTGTAGGGAGAAAACAAGTACAGTCTAAAGGCTGTTGTAGGAACAGTGTCTGTATTATTCAGGAGTGAAGCGTCTAATGCGTGGGGGAGAAGTGATGTACATGGATATAACTAGGTCAGTAAACCGTGGTGGTGAAGATGTGACTGGGGTTGTGAATGTGACCTATGTCTGGCAGGGGAAGCGGGCTTTGTAGAATATGGTGCTGCCAGTGCACAAGGACTACAGTAAGCTGGGAGTGCATGTGCTGCCAGTCTCTCTCTCTCTCTCTCTCACCAATCTCAGGAGCATGGGAAGGCAAACACAGAGTTGATCTCACAAAGACTTCTAAAGAGGGTCGCTTCCTGCCAAAAATCACTTGCACCTGTCCTGCTGGTCTTCCTCTGTCTGTCTACAGCCGACACCCTTTCATCCTCCCTCCTCTGTGTGAAACTTTTTTCTAGAATCAAAATTGGAACCAGCTCCACTACTGCTCCTCCCTTCTGTTTAGGCCAGTGCCAGGTGTAACAGCTTCTGGTATAATTTAAGTTCAGGTTGTTCAAGAACAGTGCAAGGTACTGATGCCAGGGGCAGTGGAGTCATGGTCCACACACACACATACACACACAGAGAGAGAGAGAGAGCAAACACAAAGTGTACCAAGACCAGGCAGTGCCAAGTACTGGCCTGAGCTGTGTTTCATTAGGACTAGATAGAAAGCCTCTTCTCACTCAGCCCTGCTGTGTCTTTTTTTTTACTTTTCAGACTATACAACTTATAAAAAGCTTGTGCTGCATTGAAGGTTTTCATTTCTTGTCGTCTAATTTTGAGGCCAGGTGAGACGTGTCTCCTAATGACCAGGTTCAGATTTGTTGGTTACAGTATCAGATGACAGCTCTGAAGACGTAGGCAGGTGTTTGACAAGCAGTGAATGGGCCACTCATTACAGAGGGACATCTGCTGCCGTCCAGCCTCCCAGACTCCACCCCGAGCTTTACACTGACGCTTTGATGGCCTGTCAATGTGTGTGTGTGTTTCTGTGTGTGTGCGCTACAGCAGAACAAAACAGAACGCAGACACAGCGACGTGTACTTATGCTCACAAACATGAAAACACACCAACACACCTGCCATCGGTGGAAGGCTCTGTTTTGGAGAATTAAAAAAGCAGAGGCATAAATGTGTGTTTGTGCTTTGAGACAAACAGCACACACTTCAATCTACTTACACTGGAGCTTTGGCCAAATCATATTTTCCAGCTCATGATTTTAAAACCGGTTTGATGATGAATGTTACACAAATCAGATTTAGAAAACATTTATTCAATTTTCTCCAAAAGCAACCGCCTTGGTTTGGAAAAAAAGTCCAACTGCAGTTTATATAAAAGCCTTGATGATAATTCCCTCATGATACAAATATATTTGTTTAGAAAATATGCCTGGAACAAATTAGCATCTCATTGTCTTGTGTAACAATTTAATTTGGTAAATGATTCATTCAGAAACAAATGAATAAAAAGTCTTATTATAAAGAACTGAAACAGCACTGGACGGCACGGAGGAACGGAGCTCTTTTTTGATTGGCTGAGAACAGGACCTCAACAGGAAAAAGGGTGACCCAGATGGACAGAAGCAGCAGCTTATAAATTCTCTACTTATAGGTCTGTACAGGACCTAGTCTGGACCTGGACTATGGTCCTGTTGATCCAGTACTCTCTCTCTCTCTCTCTCTCTTTATATATATATATATAAACCACAGACATATGTAATATCAGGCAGTAAAAGCAAACCAGAAAAAGCCAAAAATCATCACCTACATATAAACCTGACCAGAGATATTTTTACAGTGTAGCAGTTCATTAGCCCTCAGTTTGTAAAATGCTTGTCTCACACACACACACACACACCACACTGGTGTAATCAGTGCATCAATAAAAGTCCTGAATCACACTCGCAGTAACAGCAGCAACAGCAGCAACAGCAGCAACAGCAGCAACAGCAGCAACAGCAGCAACAGCCACGTTTTGCTCGGTCACACACATTAACAATAAGACAGGAGTCAGGCCTGTGTAAAGCTTCATAGTGACCTGATGACTCACAAAACACACACACACACACACACAAAGACTCACCTCTTCTTTGCAGGGCCGTCCTCGTAGTACTCACTGCTCCCGTCCAGGCCCTGAGAGCGTAAGCCATCTTCTTTGTGGCTGCCCTTTGATCCAGAGCCGTTCAGCTGCCCATTGGCTAAAGAGCCTGAAAACACAAGGCAACCAAAGAGTCAGACCTGCGCTAACACATCATTCAAGGACCATTTGTTTCAAACTCCCACATATTTGGCAGTGCTTTTCATCAGGCCGCCTTCTACTGAGGCTTCAATTGGTTCAGAACGTAGCTGGAATAACAAAGAGTATAGGTACAGGAGTATCTGAGGAGGGAATTCACAGAGGCTTAATTAAATATTAACCAAACAACTGAACAACAAACTGAATGCTGGGACAGGTTTTTAAATCAAAAGCAACACCAGGCTCCAAGAACCAGGATTATAGAGGCAGGGAAGTCAATGAGCATTAAGGGAGACATCTTAATTAAATGAGCATCACAAGGTTGGATATTTTCTTGGCCAGTTGTTGCAGTGTTCTCATAGAGGTTTTTTCTGCTTCAACAATAGGAATGACATGATCAAAGCTGACAAACAAACAATGGACAGGAAAGTCTGTCACTTCCTCTATTTTTACCAATTGAATAAATCACATTTGACAATTTAGGAGAGTCTTGAGAACTAGCCAGTTGTCAGATATTTCTCATTAATATTTTATCATTTGTTCTCAACCACCAATATCTTCCCTCCACAGTCTCATTCTCAGAGGATGAGGGATTCACTGCCTCCCCAGCACACCCAGTTAGATTCCATTCTCCTGAAGCCTCCCAGTGATGTGTCACTCAAACTGCACCACAAACTCCAAATAGTGGGTGTCAGAGGGAAAATAAATTAAGGTAATAATGACGATGGAGCACAGGGTTAGGATAACTGACAAGTTGAATGATATCCTGTTCACAGGGATGCTGCCGCTGAACAAGCCCAGGCATTGTGTCATCTGAGAAAGACGGGACGGGGGAGTCAAAGGGGGGAGGTGTGTGGGATTAAATGACAGTGTAGGAGACGGCATGAAGATGAGCAATTGTGCAGCAGGTAAGAGACGTTTTCAAACATGTGATTTAACTGATTTATAAAAGTGCTTTGTGTCGAATGAACACACACACACACCCATACATACACACACACCAACTCAAACATTCACATTGTTGCAACGCCACAGGACGCTGGGATTTCTCTCACGCATGGCAGGTCAGTACCTGAAGGAGGAGGTACAGTCATCGCACACAAATGGCTGCGGTCAGAGAGTTAACAAGCACCGCCATGATGACTAAAGCCACTGCACTCTCAACAATTCTTCATGTTGTCATTAAGGAGTCTTTAAGTCTAAAGGCCATGGGTGAATCACAGCCTCACGATGTGGGTGTCTTCAAAAACAGCCAACAAAACCTCTGTACGCCTTAAATCCACTTTGACTTAAAGCTTTGACCTTTGAAGCAGGGACATCTTCACATGGTCTGGTCTGAAAAAACAGCACCTGTTTACATTTACAGGCACATTTTCTAATATGATCCTCCTTGACTAAGGTATGTTTAACATTCGGTTTGAGTTTCCAAATAGAGACATTTAACTGACTAATAATTACCAATAATTATTGTGATTTGTTAAAACTGTATTAAACAAACAAATTGTATAAAGACTACATATAATAATGATGATAATATAGTTGAGAGACCAAGGTAAAACTGAAGTCTCAGACATGACTGCTGCCAGTGCCACTCACACTGGACCAAAAATCAAAGCAGCTTATTATCTATAACCGTGCTTGGAAAATGACTGACGAGCGATGTCCCAGCAGAACGAAAACAAACATGCCGGGCCCCATTTAATAACACCCCTCTCTCTTTGTCTGGTCCCCTCCCCCGATCCCTCCAAAGAGTTGTCTGACATATGCTGGTTGCACATGAGTGCTCTTCTGAGAGGCAGAGCAGGGAATCTTTGGAAGGCAGAGGCCTAGAGATGTGCAAGAGTGGCAGACGAGCTGGGAGCCAACGGATGGATGCGTTCACTGCACCGTCCCATTGCAGGTGGAGGCCTGCGACTGTGGGAGCGCGGCGGAGGTTTAACCTCGGGGAGTCGACGAGGAAGCGGAGGGACATGCTCGTGTGCCATCCCAATAGCTGCTGTGCTGGGGGAGGTTTCTAATCAGATTTACGCGTGCTTAACTAAGCCCATCGCCTCGGAATGTTCACCTCGAGAGTCTCCAGAGGGTGAGAGAGAGAGAGGGTGAGGGAGAGAAAGAGTGCCAAAGTACCAACTGTAACATGGCATATCACAGAGGCTGAAAAAAGCTTATTAGTGTGTGCTGCAGTAATGTCTGGAACTGAAGCGGAGCGTTCATGCCAAGGAAGAGACAATCACTTTGACAGAGTGAGCTCTTTAAGAGTCCTGACTGCGCCAAAAGACACCAGTCTAATGTGAAATTAGTGCAGCGCTACACATTATGGACCCAGAGTGATGTAAGTACTGTAAACATCACAGCGTCTCTTTGTTACATGAGCAGGGATGTGACAGTAAAGATGGTTTTAGGCTCATTTCTGTTATCGAACAGTTCTCTTGATACTACAACACTATACAACACTTTAATTCCCATGATTCACTTGTAGACAACAGCACTAAAACTCCCAACCTATTTTATTTCATTTGGGAAGTAATACCCATTATCTGTATACAGTTACGACTGGGGAACTAAAAGGTACGTTTATTTTAGGATACAGACCGATATTAGCCCTTTAAATGAATACTACATTAGTACTTCTTTTCCTCCTCCTCCTCCTCCTCCTCGCCTGCTCCTTACAGAGTTGGCAGAGCAGGTACAGTAAAGAATTTGGCACAGCTTTTAAGGTTAGATGTTCTTCCTAAAACAACCTTCCCCATTAATCTGAGTTTTGCACCAGCACAAGGATGACAAAACCTTTGACTCTTCTTTCCCTTTAATACAATTAATCAAAAAGGAGGAATAAAATACAGGAAGAATATTTAGTTATTTGGGTAAGCACACAAAAACCTTTGGTCGACCTGTTGGACACTAAAAAATGATATCAAATGTCAGGCTTGTGTTTGAATTGTAGCCAAGTTGAAAACACCTACAGTGTGTAATTGCACTTGAAGTGAATTAAAAACTGGTTTCACAACAGACTCAAAATAGTACTTAGTGCTGCTGGAGATGCTCTGACGAAGAGCGTATGGGAGCAAAAGTGACATAATCTCTGAGACTGACTTAATTTAATGTCTAAATTTGACCTCTTTAGAATGTGATTCTCTTTTCCAACCGCTCTCCCTTTCTCTCTGATGGTACTTCCTGTGCCAGGTGATGTAATCTCCAGGGAGAGAATAGAACCCCCGCGTCAGGTTGTAGCTGCCATGATTGCCACGGCTGACACTCTGGCCATGCACGAAACAAACGGTACGGAGGAATAGGGAGTGACAGCAAGTGAGAGATGAACGAGTGCTGAAGGAAAGGGGATGGCATGCATAAAAATGGGTGGGAACAGCAGGTCACACCGACTGAAAGAAAAAGAGAGGGGAGAGTCGGAGAGAAATTGGCAAACCCTCTCCTCTGCCCCTTCCATTTTTTGGCCTGCAGCCAAATCTTCCATCAATAGCACTCAGGAAAATGGAGAGGGAGGCAGAGAGAGGAGGGGAGAGGAGAGGGATGATGAGTAAAGTGAAGGGAGATGGCGAAGTAAGGAGCTTCAGGAAGAAGATGCTGCTTTAACGATTCCGAGAGCCGGAGAGGATGGGTGGGAAGGAGAGCAGGAGGAGGGAGGGTTTGGGTGACAGATACTGTAGATAGTTAAGACAGACGGAGCAGAGGACAGGAAGGACAAAGAGTAAAGAGGGAGATGACGAGAAAGGGGGCAGACAGAGACTGATGGAGGGAAATGGAAGAAGAGTGGGGGAGACAGAATACAGATTTGAAGGCATCGTGCACCAGGAGGGAGAGAGGAGACAGGAGCTTGCGGAAAAGGCAGTAACCAGAGTCCTATTGATGTGTAACGAGACCCAGTGTTAGGGGGAAAACCGGAAGGACAGATGGATGGAGATATGGATAAGGGAAGGGGAGGAAAAGGAAGACAGTGAACATGGTGTGGAGAGACTGGGGGTGAGGGAGCGGATGCTGGCGCACACAAGGGCATAATGTCATTTGTTAAATAATGCAGCGAATGAGCACAAGAGGGAGGAAATATGATGGACACAGAGATGGACGGCCGCCAACGGCAAGGGCTGAAGTGTCTGGGGAGACGGCATGATTGCTGGTTCTGGGCAGAAAGAAAGCAGGGAGAGGATGGGAGACAACGGGCACGGACTCACAGCTGACTGACAAACAGCCACACCTCCTCCAAAACAGATAGCTGCTGCTGTGCCAGCCGCTTGGAGGAGAGGCTGGAGATGGATGGTGGTTTGTGAAGGGAGAAGATAGAGAGACAAATGACAGCAAAGACAGACGGATACGATTCCGCCGAGGAATATAGCGCTCAAATGTCCATCAGTCAGTGAGAGTGCCTTACTCCAAAATGGAGGCCTCTTAAATAAAGAGTCAGATGTCAGAGGAGTAAGTGACAACTCCTCTGATAATATAAGTGTTCTTTAGCCCTCTCTCTCTTGGTCCTTGGTTTTTTAAAACCTTGAACAGCTTAGGAAATAAAAAGACAACCACAGTCTTAGTGCAGACGAAAACATCAGTGTTAATTAGTCACTTTTAACAGTTGTTATAACGTCAGGATGACTAATATATTTAAATGGTAAAACAATGTGCAGGGATGCCTCAGGTTGAATGAAACAGCTCTAGAAATGGGAGAAATTCAGCATTAAATACCTTCTTTGTCCACTAGTGGGGGCGGCGGCAAGTGCATGAACTGTCACTAGAATCTACATACATCAGGTTAAAAGTTCTGTAGAACCACAGATAAGATGTAGAACTTCTTTCTGACTCCTAAGCCCAACAAACATTGAAGTTAAACACTGACAATGTCTTGGTATTGTTGAAAATGTCTCATTCACAAAATCCAAAAGGCTGATTAAATATAATAACTGAATACCAAAAAAGGTTTTTATTCATTTCTAACTCCATGCTGGGAGTCTGATTCTCCAAAATGGACGGCACTTTCACAATAATTCCCATGTAAAGCCCAAACCTGCGGCGCATGTCTGGCCCCAACACAAGCCTAAAATCGGTAACCCATAGTCCTCTAAACCAGCAGGGTTCCCCATTCAGGATGTAGCACATGCTGAGCGTGATCCTCCAAAATGGCTGACAGTTTCACCACTTCGTTTGTGAAGGGAGGGAAACTGCGCTGCTGCTGCTGCAGCATCCAAAGCCTTGCTAACCCGTGGTGCTCTAAAACAGCGGGACCCATCTATTCAACTCAGCTCGCTTTTGTGTCAGCATGGGCTGCTGTCGTACACCCGGAGCGACAGACCGCCAATGCTTTCTAATGAGTCATTTTTATTCAGGCGATAAGGTCAGCTACCCGCAGTGGCTTAAAAGGCCCTGAGGAGAGAAACACACACATACACAAGCTACAGGGGAGGAAGGTGAGTTTCAGCCGAGGCACACAGTCACGAAAAAAGGGGATTGGAAGACGGTATGTAAAAATTCAATAGAAATTTTGAGATTGTGTCTGTCTTCCCGTCTCTCTCTCTGTCTCTCTGTGTCTGTGTCTGTGTCTCTGCCTGGTTGGGTGACGAGCTGCCTTCCTTGGCTGGGCGTGAACTTTCAGAGACTCTTTTTCCTCCCGTTTCCTTTCTTGCACTGTCTGGTTTTTGTTAATGTCAGCTGAGAATAGCTTCTGAGGCACGTGTGAAGTGCAAATCTCTGCTCTTGGCTAGCCGTGTGCAGTGGGAAATAAGCTCTATTGTCAAACTAAAGACGTGACGGCAGCTGAGTTCAAAATCAAGTGGTTTATCCCCACTGTGCTCTCACTCTTCCTGTGTTGTTGTAGGTTTACAAAGCACAACCTCAAAATCCCTCAACAGTTTCTGTAGACGCCCTCAACCTGGAGCACCAGCAATAATAAACCACGTCAGAGTGTGGAGTAGTCCATACCTTGACTCTGGAGTGAGTCGGTAAATGTACATAGACAATTAGTTAAAGCTACAATGTCAGCTCTACTGGGCTGGTGGATTCAGTTTTAACTTCTCCAGGTTAAACTCACATAAGGGAAATAAATGAATTGACAAAGGAAGGTCTGAACTTTAACAGCTAGCACTGACCATTACTAATAGACATGTTAGTGTGTGGTAGCAAGTTAACTTGGTTGGTTTGGTAACTAGGTATGGGTTTCATTAAAATAAATGCATACACACCATGTGTCTAAAACACAAACATATGGTGTCTTCACTTGTCTGTCATGTAAAGGTGGTGTTAAATATATACTGTATATATGTGTGTTCTACTGTGTAACAACATCAGATTATGTCTAAGTGCAGCTTTTAGAAAAGTAGGAATAGTCTGAGTTTGAGTGTTTCTCTGGGGACGTGACACAGTAGAGGAAAACGCCCACAGACTTGAAGCTTGATGCCCACTGACCCACAACAAAAGACAAACCAGAGTCCCTTGTTTGTTTGTTCTTCTTGGATTCTTTCTATTTCAAGTGAGATCAGGTTTTGCTGCCAGACAAAAGCAGCTCTGTGTTCTCTCACAAACCAACTAATAAAACTGTCACTTGAAATAAGAGCAACCGAAAAGCTGAGGCCAGACCTAAACCTCATCAAACTCTGACATTACGTCCACATTACACTGCTGGGCCCATTATTTGCTTCTTCAACAGGGATGTTTCCAAACTGTTGGGTTACTGTATTTAGAGAGGGCCTTTCATTGTTGCAAGGCTGTTTACAGTACACAGTACAACGATGTCATTTATGTTGTACCCTTTATATTTAAATGCAGGTTCTGAATGGTGGGGTTTTTTAGCATGTGCTGCCTTTTTTTAACTCTTACAACTGAGATTATTTCCAGATACAAATGTGATTGGAAATCCTACAGCTAGTATTTGTGATGCAGACAGAAGAACTACAGTTTTTATTTGTTCCTTTTCATCAGTATTCACCACAGCTGTACTTCACACAGTGAGTTGGTACAGCTGTACACACTTTCTGACACAACCCTCCCCAGGGTTCTGGATTTGGGGTAGGTGGAATTGAACCATTAACCTACTTCACAGCACAAGAGAATCCTAGGACTAGTGTGTCCCTCAGTACTCCAGTACTGTATATGACCGTTCCAAAATAGGTTTTCTGATACTGTGACACGCCTGGAGAAAATGTGATGCATTTGGTTGAACTCACCGTTGGAGTTTGTGGTTCCATCGCCATCCAGCTGCCGTTTCTGTGCACTCCTAAACTCCTTCAGAGAGAGGTACAGCACCTTTCTCATCATCCGTTCCTCAGACCATGGGATCCCATCACTGTCATCCTGTCAGAACAGATAAGAAGGAAGGCAGGTGAATAATGTGTCACGAAGCAATAACATCAGGCTGCGTTTAAAATACATTCATATTTCTGATGTATAACTTTTGACCTTGACTGTCACTTTCAGGCTGACCACCAAGTCAGAATTTGACCACAACAAACATGCACAAATTATTCTATCACAAACAATCTAAATTTCATTGACAGTAGTTTTTCTTAAGACTAATAAGCGTTTAAGTACAACGGAGTTCATCTGTGTTTATTGTTCAGGTAGCATCCGTCCCCTCAGTGTCTGCCTTTATCGTGACATTAGCATGACACAACATTAGCATAACACAACATTAGCTTGCAGCTAGACACAAGGCAGAGCATTAGCATAACAATTCAGGAGGGACACCGTCTCCTCACAGTGCCATGATAGCCAAGTGTTATGGTGATGAATGGGTAGGAAGCAAATGAAAAAAGCATCATGGGACTGCGAGTTCATGTGTTGCTAATCTCTCCCAGCGAGACAGAGACAGAGGACGTTATTGTCAGAGAGGTCACCAGAAGTCACACACATACGCATAACACATCCTTCTCCAGGACACTGCCGTCCCTGTCAGCTTCCCCGTGAGCTGCAATCTCGTGACTGCGGAATATGTGGCTCTTTTTGTCCATGAATTATAATATAAGGCCCATATATAGTGCAAGAGAGGGAGAGACAAATATTCTGTGGCATCATGGATCCTTTAAAGAGTCCTTGGAGAGTGTCCGGCACAGATAACCACCATACTTCTCTGCCCCCTCGTTGCCTCGGGCCACGGCTCTTGTTTGATGTCAAACAATGCAGAGGAAATGACATTAAGACATAAGTTACAACAAAGACAGATTAATAAGTCATGGAAACTAAACACAGCCGTCGTCACATGATTTGGTCGCAGCTGTAAAGATTTAAAAAGCAACTGCTTTGTGAAACAAAAGTTTGAGCAACTCTGTTGGTTAATGTCCCGTTCCTGCTGAGGCGTTTTCATGCGTCTCTTGTCAAATGTAATGTGAGAGGCTGACGTGAAGCCAGTGTGGGAGCAGCATCTGATCATCCTGTCACCTTAGATCATTTGAGTCAGTTTGGCTTAGTAGCTGGCAGACATCACCAAATGACATCAGCTCTGGCCGGAGGCATTCAGAAAAAAATCCCTACACAGAAATAAAGAATTACTTCCAGCCTCTTCCTTCTTAAGGGGTTGTCATGGTGGATATTCCACAGATGTGATTTGGCACAGGGTTTTACACCCCCTGGACGCCCTCCATGACTCCACATGGGAAAAATGACACCAAAACAATTTAAAGACACAGTAATGACAAGATGTGACTGTGGCTGATGTAAATGAAACTGACACTGTCTCAGCCTACGTGAACATAAAAAGTTTACTTCCTATAAATATTTTGTCCTCTGACAGTAGGTGAATAAAAGGAGTCTGGAGCGACTGCTGCTCATAAATGTTTTCTCTCTTTTCAGGGCTGCAGATTTCATGGTTCTTTGCTTGTGCACAAACACTTGGCCAGGGAATGCATGTTTCAGGCTGTCGCAGTATCCACTTTTTCCGTACTGCACAAATTTGTAGACTCAGTGAAACCATTAGCCACGCTGTTCCTAATACTGGCCACATTTCCTCTGCTAAAAATAGGCATTCACAGTGTAAATTGGCAACTTATTTACACACAGATAAGGGAAAATAAAAAGTCCCAGGGACTGTGGTAGAAGCAGACCAGAAGGATTATGTGATTATTGTTTTAAAAAAAACCCCAACTGTAATAGAATTAACAACAACAAAAGGACACGGAGAAAGTCACACAAAAACATGATTAGATTGCAGAGACATTTATCCATCAGAGCTGAAGAAAATACAAACAGTACAACTGTACGTAAAGTGCAGTAATACTGTATGTCATTAGACAGATGATCTGATCTGCCTCACACGTCGAGGAATGTCACCTCAGCCTTCAGCAGCCACTGTCAAACAAACGGCCTTTTTTAAACATCTTTCTAAAGAGAGAGTTAAAGGAAAGGAGACGAGGAGACAGGTGTGATATTTAGCGTGGTGAACCACTGCAGGGAGCTGCCATTGTCTCTCTCAACAGTGCTTCTGAGGTAGTAAATGATCTTTTTAGTATGTGTTTGATGATCCTGCAGTGAGTATTACTATATAGTGAGCATTTGAAAATGTTCCAGAAATATATTCCTCTTCCTGTTTCTGGGCAGTCACTGCTCAGGTAAGTCTTGATAATAAAATAAGACCTAAAATCAGCTCTGGTTCTCATGTCATTAACATTTTGGGTGTGAGAAATTAACTATGTCTGATTCATAAAAGGACAAGAACTGTTTAGTGGATGGAACCGATGAGAGGGTGTTTATGAAAGACAATACTGCACTTGAGAAATATTTAGAGGGAGTGGACTTAAACTACAACGTCTTTCTAATTCACTCAATGTGTGTTTTCATGACTCAATATTTTTATATAGTATTAAGAAGTGTGAAAAACTTTTCTTTTTTTACTCATTTGTTTTTCTTTTTTCTGTCTCTTCAGCAGATGTGGGTGATCCTTTTGATAGTCTTGGTGGAGGCACGAGGGAGGAAGGGTGGGGGCAAAATTCAAACTGGGTGTCTGCGTGTGATGGAGCTGATAGGTGACAGCCACATCTGCCTGAATATGGCAGGCAAGCTGGCACACACACACACACACACACACACACACACACAAGAGAGCGAACCATTGAGTGCACTGATGCTTCGCAGCCTCTGACAGGGGCGGAGGCTGCAGTCGCTCATTACCCTGCCAGACATATGACTTAGCATGTATGTGTGTGTATGTGTGTGCATACACACATACACACACACATACATAGACACACAAACTGGATTGGACCAGTATTCAATTATACCATTTTCTTCCTGCAGTTAACATCAGCTAATCCAGTTTGTGTGTACATAGTGTGTGTGTGTGTGTGTGTGTGTGTGTGCACAAAAGCCTGCAAGGTAAGCACCAATTACCAGGACGGTTCACTGGCATTCTTTCCCTCATGGTGTTGCACAAGGCCAAACCAACCACCAAATGCACACACAGTGACACACACACACAGTGACACACACAGACACAGCATTGACAGTTTATCCGGTGGTTACAAAAACTCATGCAGCTTTTAAGGAGTCCATATCTCCACCTGACACACACACACACACACACACTGTGTGCACCAGGGATAAAAAACAAGCCAAAATGTTCCTTTCTAAAAGTTCACCTACATTTTTTTTTCTTTTTCCCTTTTTTCCACCCAGCGTTTGGCAGTGTGCCACAGATATTTCCTGAGCTGTGTACACAAAGCAATAAGGTCCGTGGGGGAGGGGGGGGGGGGGAAGAAAAACTGCTGACTGACTTTTCATCAGCTGAGAGAATTGAGTGAGTATTAGCACCACGCTCTACACCTCTCATCCCTTTAAACTGCACCGACAGTTCCTAATACTTTCGAAGAACAATTAAATTGCTTTCCACAGCCGCTGCTCGATCGCAGGTTACGTCTTCATCTGACCTGAGGGGTAGTTTCAAATCTGTTCTCTGGCCGGGGTGTTTAGTTTTCCTGACATGTCTCTCCTATAGCTGTGTGTGTCTGTGTGTTTTCCAGCTGTAAAATGTAGGAATGATGGGCAGCAATTGCATGCAACAAAAAAAATCTCCCTCTGACTGCCAGAGGGTAAGTGCAGCACGACAGAGGAAACATCTTAAATACGCAGTAGTTATGTTGCGCTGCAGTTTCTCAGTGTGTGTGTGTGTGTGTGTGTGTGTTTTTGAGGTATTTTGCAGCGCCCTTCAGAGACGGCTCTTTGTCAGAGAGCAATGCAAACCATGCACATGCCTGACAATAAAACAAATTTCTGCACCCAAACAGATTCTTACAGACGGGTGGAATTCTCCTAACGAGTATAAAGACTTTGTCTGATGTGTTTTGGTCAAAGGAAGTCAGGAATTCTCTTCACAGAGTATTTCTATTTCCCATCAAGTAAAGACCACATGAACTTTGATGCGTCCCAGGGCATGTAACATGTTCTGTATGCTGTGAGAATTACTGACATCACTTGTCATTACACACACACACACACAGACAGACACACACACTAACCACACTGATGCACCAGGTACTTTAAGGATATAATCTTACCAATGGGGCTTCTTAGAGTTTCAAAGCCCAAATTTAAAACCAGCACAGACAGAATATAAAAAGGAGGAATGTAATTTCAGATGTTTTCTAAAAAAAAAAAAAAAATGAAAAAGTTTAATTTCTGCCACACATCCTGGTACTTGAGGGGATGACGACTGGCTCAATTTCCTTCAAGAACATGATATATTAAGAAAGAAAGCAGAAGAAGACTGCTTAACCAAAAAGCAGTTATGCTACTCCAAGAGCGCCCTCTTCTGGACCGTGTAGTCTGTTAGAACATTTCAGGTGAATTATATATATATATATATATAT